ATATATATATATATATATATATATATATATATATATATATATATATATATATATATGCTGCTTTCAGGTCAGGAAAGAATAGTTATAATATATCAATTCATCTTTTCTCCCTTTGGAAAGTTCCCATACTGTTTCTCAAAGATCTTTAAGAATAATTGCTCTTAATTGGATAGTTGAAAGTTTTGACAGCCACCAGTTACACTACTTAAAACCTTAGAAAACATGAACAGAGCCTATGAACACTTAAAAAAAACCAAACACTTAAAAAAAAAAAAAAGCCAAATAGTATATATTCTGGCAACATTAAGAGTTGCTAGAGGGCTGGTGCTGGGGAGATGGCTCCATGTTTGTGAAGCATTTGCTGCTCTTCAGAGGACCTGGGTTTAGTTCCCAGCACCTTCCACTCCAGGTTCAGGGGATGAGATGCCCTCTTTGGCTCTCTCCAGGCACCAGGCACACAAGTGATGCACAACAGACATGCAGGCAGAACAGTCATGCTCCTGGGCGCTCACCCCTGTCAGATCAAATGAACTTGAGCCACAGCAGGGGCAGGGACGCTCTCACGTTGCATGTGAGTAGCAGTGTCTATGGAGTGCTGGCGCTGACAGCACAATCCTGGCGTGCGTGTACGGAATGGCCCTTAGAGAGGAACTCTCCCAACAAGACAGGAGCCTTCACGAAGCCCTACTTAGAGGCAGGAGTGTGAGCTTACACGTGAGTACTCAGCTCACCTACTAGCACCTACACAATAAAAAAGTTTGTGAAAATGCTCACCCATATGTAATGTCAGAGCTTGCCTTATATTTAGCATTTAAAAGCATTTCCACTAGTAAACATAATAATATGTAGACAAGTTTTACCTCCTGAAGGCAATGTATTCACTCAGTGTAAATCCTAATTGCCTTTCAGACATGATATCACTAGTGGATCCTGCTCTAATCACCTTCCAGACATCATTAACGGATCCTCCTCTAATCACCTCCAGACATCACTAATGGATCCTCCTCTAGGCCTCCATTAAAAATGCCACAGGCTACTGTGCCCATCTCTGGCTCAATTTCAAATTCCCTCCAGGAAGCCCACTATTCATATTTTTCTTTCCACCTACTAGGTAAGTCCCTCAGTATCTGCTCTAAAGTTTAAATGAGCTGGTGGCCTCATAAATGAACAGCACAGAAAATTTCATGGGGCTTGTCTTTCAGAAATTCTTGTCCCAGACACAATGATCATCAAAGAAAACACACTGATTACATGGATTTACCTCAAGAAATGAATCCTCCCAAGACAGAATGCATCTAAAATAACAGCTTACCGGCTGGAGAGGTGGCTCAGCGGTTATATTTTATAAACATAGAATAACAGCTTACATGTTCTGCCTGACACTCCTAAATTAACTGTTTCTCCTTGTGATCTTCTTCTTTCTTGTTCCCCACCCAGCTCATTTAACCCCTCCTGTTCCTTTAGTCCCCCTTTCCCCATTTATGTGTGAAATTCTCTTAAAAGATTCATTTTATTTTATGTGTATGTGTGTTTTGTTTGAGGAGGCAGAGGCAGGTGGGTCTCTGAGTCTGAGGCCAGCCTGGTCTACAGTCTGAGTTCCAGGACAGACAGGGCTACACAGAGAAACCCCGTCTCAAAAAGCCAAAAAAAAAAAAAAAGTACATAATAAAACAAAACAATGACAAAAAAACCAGTTCCCTCCTGTCCTCCCAAAAACAAAACAAAACAAAAACAAAAACACAAAAAAGTCCTCACCTTGCCAGGTAGTGGTGGCACATACCTTTGATCCAAGCACTGCAGAGTCAGAGGCTAGCTTGGTTTACAGAGAGTCCAGGACAGCCAGGGCTACACAAAGAAACCCTGTCTCAATACATACATACACACACATACATACATACATAAAGGACCTTTAACCTCTAGTGAAATAGAAGTGCACACTTGTACTGCCACTGCAGAAACCAGCATGGCATGGCAGCTCCTCGGAACCTGGGAGTAGATCTGGCTCAGATCCAGCTCTAAATTTCTTGGGCATATACCCAAGAAGCTCTCCATCCTACCACGGAGAGACTTGTTCATGCTTACTGCTGCCTATCCACAGGAGTTAGAAACTGGAAACCACGTGGATGTCCATTAAGAGATGGACAAGGACAATGTGGTCCATTTACACAATGGATATTATTCAGCTGTTTAAACGTCAAATTATGAAATTTACAGGTAAATGGAATGAGCTAGAAAAACATCATCTGGAGGTAACCCAGACTCAAAGACAAATTTGAAAGTTTTCTCTTATATGTGGATATTAGCTTTTAGGCCTCCAATGTGCATGCTGCAATCTCCATACCCACAGAGCCTAGGTTCCTGGTAAGGGACTCCATAGAGGACAGGATTGCCCCAGGAAGAGGAGACTGGAGTAGGATGATTAAGTGCAGAGAGGGACGGAAATAGGAGGGACAGCTAACAATAGGGGCCATTTATGGGGTCATACTAGAACTCACTGCGGTGGGAGCTTCCTCAAACATATGCATACATGAAGGTGATCAAAGAAGCCACAAAGCAAACTTTAGAGACGTCTTTCTCAGCCAAGGGAAGCCTCCAGCGGCAGGACTGGACTACATCTACTACATCTATAGAGCTGCTGGCCCAAGGGGCCTTACGTGAACTCCCAAACATCTCAGGCTAGTGCCCAAGTGATTTGCTGCTCTCCGTAAATTCCTAGTGAAGTCCTACTGCTAACGAGAATGACTACCTATTTCACGGACCCTGGAGAGGCTGAGCAGGTGTCTGACCAGAGGCCCCCAAGACTGACGAGTATTCATGTGTTGGAGGCACCCTGCACACCACCAAAGGAGATGGGTGAACACCCAGCTACAGCCTTGTGACCTGCCTGCCAGGTACACTTGTGAGATACTGGCACAAACAGTATGGCAGTAAGCAACCGCTTCCTAGGGGGAATTAAGGCCCACTCCACGAGATGGAACCCAAGCCGGCACTGCTCAAGTGGACAAAACCTGAAACTGCATATGTCATGGGTCTAGGGGAAAACAAAACGCTATTATTCTGCTAAAGGAAGACAGCAAATAAAATGACCCGATGGCATCCTGCTGGACACACAGATCAGTGCCTCATTCAGCCAGCACCAGGTAAGCTTCCTCCTGCAGATGGGAACTGATAGGAGACCTCCAGTGGACAGTGAGTGACTCACAGTATGCAGAGAGTGAGAGACCCTGGAACACTCAGTCCTAAATCGGATGGCAATCAAACCCCTCCACTCAGGGCTCAGAGAGCTATGAGGAAGCGGTGGCGGAGAGACTAAGAACCGGAGGTGATGGACACCAAGGAGACAGCGTCCTCCAGACACAGGACTGATGGGCATAAGAGCTCACAGAGACGAGCAGCAGGCACAGGGCCTGCACCAGTTCAAGTCACAGGGGTCCCAGTGCCGAGAGGAGAAGCAGACTCGGGCTCTCACCCCTATCCGAGAAGCTACTTACAAAGGAAAACTTTATCTTCTCTAGAGGAGTCTCATGTGCACTAACCACACTTAAGGGCAGGTCCCCTGCCCAGCAGCAGACGCCACACGAATGATCTCAATGGTATTGTTGGAGACTTCTTGTTTCATATTGCTTCATTTGGGCACTCTCGTCTTATTAGTCTTTTTTGTGTGTTGTGATTACTGATTTTGTGGATTTGTGTTGTGTTACTTGTAAGTTTTGTTTTTGTTTTGTCCCCCTAGTTGGGCTGTTTGTGGTTTTTGCATGCCTGGTTGTTTTCTAAAGACAGAGAAAGAAAAAGGGTATGGAGTTGGGTGCGTGGGTAGTTGGGAGGATCTGGGAGGAGTGGAGGAGAGAAAATCGTGATCAGAATACATTGTATTAATTTTTTCAATTAAAAAAAGTATCTGTAAACTGGTGTAACAATGTGCCTATTTCTTCAATATAAAAAGATGGATCCGGGCACACCGCAGCACACGCCTGCTAAGCCCGACTCTCAGGAACCGTGAGGCAGGAAGATCACGGTCTCACGGCTAACTCGGCCCTCACAGCCGACACCGGCTTGGATGAGCATGAAAGCCACCCTGACCCAACCAGTAAGCACGACGCTGGGAAGGGAAGCGGCTCACCTTGAGCGTGACGTCGCAGAGCTCCCCGTTCTCATAGAACCGAAGGAGGGAGCTGTGAAAGTCCTTCCAGGCTTCGTTGGCTTCGAAGGTGAAGGAGTCCCCGTCCCCATCGCCCTCGCTGACAGATGACCTGCTCCTCACCTGCTGCTGCTGCAGCTGCTGCCGCCTCCCCTTGGTCACGTGACTCCTACCTTGCTTCCCATTGGTGGATTCTGAAGCCATTTGCAACACTCTTCTTTTTATATAGCTCTCTTCTGACACATCCCATCTATTCTTATTTTTAAGGGTGAGAAGACAAAAGCCAGACGTGGCCGATAAACTTTAGACATCTTTCAAAATTCTCTTGATCGTCATTATAGTTTGCTGAAATATTTTAAAAAAAACACAGATAAAGTAAAAGGTGTTATCATTGATTACAGTTGTCAATACAATACGCGCGATCACACTGGTCATCACTGGGGAAACCCCTTTAGACCAAATGTCACACGACTCACTTTACCTAACTGTATCAGGGAAAGAACTCCTTTAAGAATCAATGCAAAAACAACTAACGGGCATAACTTTCCACATGCGGAATAAATTGGCTTCAAAAACAGAAGCTAGAACATCAGGTTTAGAAACTTTCTTTGTGGACTCCTGGAAAAATAAAGGTTATTTTTACCAAATGAGGTTCTTTTAGATTCTGTGCCAGGCTGATTCCATAACTCAGAAGCGTTTAAGCCTTACTTATTTCTTCTGGGAAATGGGTTTATCGCTTGCAGGAATATTTCAAGAGTTAAAAATATACAACCAGAAACAGGCACAGGCGCACTGCAGTGTGGGGACCTCACTGTACCTGCATTTCCATACACAACTGTTATTTACATGTAAAAATCACACCACATTAACAAGCATATTTGCTGACTATTCAGATCATTAATAGGTATTGCTACAGTTCTGTCCAGGTGACACGAAGAAAGGTTTTTAATTGAATCTTCTTAATGGCTGTGCTCTTTTTGAAGGTTCTCCTAACCCTGTTCCTGTAGCTGTACACAGGACTGAGGCCCGGGAAGTGCAGCAGTAGATGTCAGGCCGCATACATGTAAACGAGGCTGCGGGCGTGTGAGATTGGGCACCTGGACAGTATGCGGCTTTTGAAAACTATGAACACCTCAGCTAGAGCTTCGGGTCTACGAGGCTCCTTGCCAAGCTTGTCTTCTCAGCTTTTGTCGGCGCTGAGACAAGCTCTGACAAGCTTTTAAGAAAGGAGTGATGTGCAGTCACTAACATGTTCTTAAGAGCTTACTAGAGAGTTAAAAGGAGAAGCTAGAGAGAGGGCACCAGCAGGGCACAAAGGCAGCATATGCAAACCCAGCACCTAGGAGGCGAGGCGGGAGGATTACAAGTCTGAGGACAGCCTTGGCTTCACTCCAAGTTCAAGCCCAGTCTGTGCTACATAGCAAGACTGGAACTTAATAAAACACAAGTTAGGGGCGTAGGCGAGTGTTAGTATACCTGCCTAGCGTGTGTGCAATCTCCAATACCAGAAGGAAAAACCTACAGCAACCACCAACCATAGGGGAAAACAAACACACACATTCAAAAGACCAAGTTGGTTCCTTACCTTCTGTTACTGACAAACACTAATGAACAATGGAGTTGGGACCTAAGCATAAGCCCTGACACAGTAAACTACTAGGCTCAGGGCATGCTGCAGTCCTAGCGCCTGGAAAAGGAGGGGAGGAGTGTGGAGCAGAAGGAGAACACTGAAGAAATGTCAGTTCTCTCTGACACAATAACAGAAGAAAGGAAAAGGCACAAACTGGAAGGAAACAGAATTGTTCACATTAGTATAACTGTACGTGTGCAATCTTCTCATGCAAATAACAAATCACACTAAACCAAAGACAGTCTAAAGATTTGTGCAAATTTAACTGAAGAAAAGGGAAGGAAGGCTGGGAATGAGGCTGAATCTGAAGACAAGGAGCCTGGTGCTATTATTCTTCTCAGGGTTTACAGAACACATTGTCGGCACGTCCTTCACTGTGATGGACGTGATGTCAGAAGACATGCTCTCTATGAGGAGGCAGCATGAGCTTACCCCGCTGGCATCCGGTGATGTGTGAGAAAAGTGGGCCACCATATTGGTCAGCACAGAGAAAGGGGTGGAGAAGAACATATATTTGCATTTAACAAGAAGCAACGGAGGCGTCTGGAGCTTGCAGATCCGAGCCACTGTTTGTTTTACCTGGTTTCACTGTGGAGGAGCCATGCCACACCTCTGTGCATAAGGCTCTGAGATGAGGCTCGGGACCTGCACACGCCCTCTGTCCCCAGGGAGGTCAGTTCACGTCTCAGAACATGTGTAAGCAGCACCCAGCCCAGCACTGTTTACAAGGCCACAGAATTACAAGGGAAGCGGGAGAAAATCACTCTAGGCCTATGCACTGGCAATGCACAACTGCAGAGAAGTCTGGCAAGTTCCCTGCTTCCAAGTGGACCGGGAAAGGGAGGCCTCGGGTACAAGCCCAATAAAGCATGTACTGGACCCTCACACTGAAATATTTTGTTGAAGTGAATCAAAGAAAACTGAAAGAAATGGGAAGCTGCCACAGTTCCTAGGCTAGACTCAGCATAGCAAACATGACTGATTCTAATTTAGATCAACTTCCCTAAAAATCACATAAAAAGTTTTTATAATAAAGACACAGACAAGCTGAGTCTAAATTTTATAGTGGAAAGACAAAGGAGCCAGAATACATAAATCACTTTTCAAACAAGGTTTGAGGAATCACTACATTCAATTTGAAACTCCATATACATGCCTTCAGCAACAGTGTCAGATACATAACCCCAAACATAAGAGCAATGATCCTGGTCCACGCCATGCTGGTATAAACAAATGATGGAGTCAGTAAACGAAGGGAGTAGAATACTCGAACAGTAACTTCAAGCTGCAGGAGGAGGTACTCAGGGAAAAATGACCTCCTACTGTGAGCAAGGCCTTTGAGAAAGAGGAAGGGGGAAGGGTGCACATACAAAGATTCCAAATAAATTATGGAGACCGTTCACTCGTGCCTGTGTGTGTGCATGTGCACGGCTTGTGTGTGGTGGTCAAAGGCAAGCCCGCTGTGAACGCTTGGGTGCCTTCCCCCTTTGTTTGAGACAGGCTCTCATGCCCTGGAACCTTGCCAAGTGGGCGTGTCTACCTGGCCAGCGGGCTTCAGTGGCCCACCAACTGTCGCTCCTGGAATGGCATGTCGCCACGCCTGGCCTCTATATGAGCACTGGGGATACGAGCCCAGGTTCTTGTGCTTTTGTGGCAAATGCTTTCACGGACTCAATCATCTCCCCGTCTCGAGACGCTTTACTCCCGAGGTGCCGTCTGCAGAGTGGCACAGTGACCTCACTTTAAAGAGCCCAGCAGGAGACAGGATAAAACCAAGGCAAGTTCTCCGAGCTGAGATCTGACACGCGCTGCCCTTCACTACCCTCCCAGTGCTGATCAAGAGCGACACGGCTTGATCTCAGGGACTTTTGCAGCCTTGACTCAACATGCTGCAGTGAGAACAGCGCTCTCTGTTCTCTCTGCTGCTCAGAGCCTCAGGTTGGCAGTGAGAAAAGCATCAGACAAACACAAAAGGGACACTATAAAACACCCGGCCAATACTCATCAGTCATTAGAAATGAGGAAAATCGGGTTACTGTGGCAGCCAGGAGGATCCCAAAGAGGCAGTAAATTTCCTGCCACATTCTACATGGGATCCTGGAACAGAAAAAGAAAAAAAAAGTAAAAAGACAGAAACTGGAATAAAGTGTTAAGCTTTCATTCTGGTTTGTTGTTGTTTTGTTTTTATTTTTTATTATTTTTTATTTTTTTATCAACTTGACATGAACTAGACGGAAGAGAAACTGCCTCCATCATATTAATTTGTGGGCACGTTTGTGGGGGCATTGTCTTAAGTGTTCATTGATACAGGAGGCCCCAGCACACCGCAGATGGTGGCCCCCCTGGACATACAGGCCTGGGCTGTGTATGAAGTCTCTGCAAGTCAGAGGAAGCACCCTGTCCCACCACCCGTTTCTACTTCAAGCCTTGGCTTCACTAGACGATGACCACACCCATAACGTGTAGTAAACCCTTTACTCCCCAGTTTACTTTTGGTCGTGGTGTCACCCAACAAAACACACTAGAACAGCCTTAATTAATAAATAGTGTTAATAAAAACGAACTGATTAACGGAAACAATCACACTAAGCTAACATAAAAGGAGGGACTGGCTAGGGTCGATGGCAGTGCTAATACTTTAACAATGCCACAACAACTCTCAAGCTATTCTAAAACAAAAGTGACAAAATGGTTAGAGCCAAAGTAGAGACAACAATGGTACTCGAGATTCAGAAACAGCTGAACACAGCCATTGATTTCTGAGGAAGCATAAGAGCAAGTCAATGAAGGAAATAATCTTTTCAATAAATGATAATAGTACAGCCATACAAACAAAAACTAAATAAATCTTTACCTAAAGCTAGTTAATATAAAAGTTAATAGATCAAAGATTATGATGAAACTAAACACACCCATTCCACATTACATACCACACACATATAAAGCTTTACATAGTCATTGTTGGGTGACCTTCCCCCATATTGTATGCAGGTATGTCCCTGTACCGGGGTTCTCTCCTCCTGGTCTGTGTCTGGAGCGCGTGTCCATCAGTTGTTGGCTGCTGGGCCAGCAGAGCTAGGTGCTGGCAAAATATTAGGTGCTGTACTTTCTATGGCCTGTAAACAGCTTTCTATAGGTAAATGCCTGGCCTTCCTCACCTGTACAAAAGATGATTCTCTGAGATTGTCATGTCAAAAAGCAAGCTGACATGGTGAAGGTCACACAACACTCAATGCCAACGGGCACACCAAAGAGACGGTGTCCTGCTGCTGATTGGTTCAGACTGGAACGTGGCTTCTGGTGGAATAAAGAGCTGAGGCTTGGCTGGGGCAGAGAACTAATGGTAGGAAGAGAGGCCATGACAACCACAAGGAGAGATACAGTGTCAGGGTTAGAGGTGAGCTGAGAGCCTGCCCTGGGAAAAGGCCAACAGCCATGATCTACACAGATGCCACATTTATTCTAAACCTCAAGTGAGATCCACGAAAGCCCCGCAATATCTGGCACCCAACATGGGCCACGAGAGCCAGGCTGAGGACAGGGGTTCCAGATACAAGATCAGGTGGGGAGAACCCAGGCACAGGAATGTGGAGTGGAGAAACTGGCTGAAGATGGAGAAGCTGAAATCCCAGACCTCAGAGCCGGTAGTGTATGAAGAGCTGGCAATAAATTTTTGGGAGAAATTATCAAACATCCCAAAAGCAAGCAACTTCAG